GAAAGGGAAAAGACGTCAACATTGTCACGTTTCCATACTCTTAGCTTGGTTTTACTCCCTATGTGGCCTTCGCTACGCAATATATCCGTAATGACCAGAATGATAAATTTTATTCTTTAAGGTTGATCCTCTCTACACTGTACGTGGTTGGTGACCTGATTGAACGAGAATCGCTAGCCCTGAGGCGCCAGTTCCCATCACTTTTGTTTTCTTTGTAAGTTATACAATCGTAACGTATGATATTTATTGAGTGTTTTATGACCACCCGAGATCTGTTATTGTTATGAAATCTAAGTTAGTTATCTTCATGTTAATTATGAACATTTGCAACTGGTCAAGTCGAATTTAGAGCTACTAGATAATCTTTATACGGATTTCTTGCTTTTGTACTCCAGCTTCTGTAAACTATTTTCAACCTGGCCAAAGAGTCCATAAATTCATAGCCTGTCACAGTTGCAGTTGCATTAATGGACTTTGTCCCTGGTATTGGAACTCGTTGTAAAATACAGATTATTTTCAAGGAATTTACTGCACACGAAAGGGGCAAAGTCCAAATTCACTCAACTCGACTTTGAATTTGCGAACAGCGGTCTATGAGCATTATTGCGTTAAGCTCTCAGAACCAAGTCACATTTTGCTTTTTTGAGTTATTTTTAGAAAGTTAAATTTAAATCACGAATCCAAAGTCCCTTTTTAACTTTATTTAGTTTAATGTTTGTAGGGATGCATTGTAAACTTGCACGTATGTAGGCAAGTGTTTAGTTTGATCGATAATAATACAGACTTTCATGATCATCATCATCATCATCATCATCATCATCTTCATAAGTGGTGGGCAATTTGTGGAAATAAAATGGATGAGGTCTAGCAAGCCTTCTTTTCTTACCCTTTAACTCCTAGAAGTGATTAACCTAGAACTTCTCTCTATAATATCCATACATGATCCAGCAAACAGGTAATGAGAATACTCAAATATACCAGGTTGAAGTTATTACCTTGATTGAACACCAAATTCTCGTAACCAATTTAAAAAACGGTTAAAAAACAAGTTTATTGTTATTCCTTATCTTCCTCCAACATAGTTGATTTTACCGGTTTCACCGTAATCTCTGTAGAAATTGCAAGATGAAACATTCCAAAGGACATTTTCCTCGGAATAACCCTCAAACTCAAGGTGTGTGCAACTTTTGCGCACCTGTGGTGCTGATTCACCCGCTGAACAGGAATAACTGGGCGGTGTGGATGAGCCCATAATGCATTGGCTACGCATACTATTTGATTGAATCTTTCAAGAAATTAATATTAAACGGGCACTCTTTTTCCACTTTACGTAGCTGCTTGGTCTCGTCTCTGTATGGAAGATTTACTCAACAGTCCAGAGGCCAACTTGATCATGGCTCAATGAAAAATTATATCAAATTTTCAAAAAAAGGGAAAAAGACTTCGCTCAAATTGAATCAGATAGAAGGGAGGGAGAGAATCAACCAATATGTCATCTCTAAAATCGTTAATGCATAGTCTGTCAAATCTATTCACCATTCAACGTTGGTGCAAAAAGTCAGTGCCACGTTAAGAGTAAAAAATATTGTATGATGCACTTTAAGGATACATCTGGTGAGTCTATAAAAAGCAGCCCGCTAGAAATGCTAAGTCTTAATGAGTCCAAAGCACTTGAGCTTTCCAAGTGTGTGATGTCCGGTTTCCTGCGAACCTCCAGTATCTCCAAATCTCAATTGCTTCACGGGAAGCTTAGACTTATCTGTGAGGAAGCCGCTGTCATTTCGCCAGGTGTTGTCATTTTTGTCGCAGTTGCATCCGTCGTTAGTGCCTGCACATGTATTGTTCAAGCCACATGCGCATTTGTAGTCAACGGAATCAACTCCTCCCCAGTACGTCATATTCTCTCCATCACGTGACACCCACCAGCCTTGGGGGTTACCATTTGCGAGGAGCAGTGAGTAACGGCACTCGTACTTTATAAACTGCTCACAGTGAGCTGATGAAGCTGTCAGGTTTGCCAGCTGAGCCATATCAGCCTCTGTGTACCTGATGTTGCGAGAATAGGCGTCTCTGTCTTCATACCCTTTCACCAGTGTTCTGCTTTCACTGTCATGACTGACAACTGTCACTCCAACACCGTTCTTGTCAGTCATGTCACAGTAGACTTTAAAAGGTTTCACTCCACCATTTCCATCAGGGTCGATGACGTAAGAGCCACTTGGGAGATTACACAGTTTGATCTGACTGCAGGTTTTATCTCCTTAAAAGCAAAGTCAAAGAAAAACATTTGTAAGTATATCGTATTTGGTGTGTCCTTGGCATCAGCTTAAATTCATGGAGAAAAGAAAATTAAAGGAGTAGATTACATTTCATTTATTAGGGAAAGTGAGAACAAAGCCAGTGAATCTGTGCACAATAGTGCGAACGTCCTTCATATTCCCATTGCACACGCTGATGACGTAGTGTACACATTGAAACGTAGCAAACTTCTGCATTAAAAATACTCATCCGCAACAGCTGCATGTTTATCACGATATGAGGTACTTGTGAGATTCTTAGAGCTCTCAAGAAGCTAGAGTTGAGAGCGCTTGTTAACTGAGGAACCAATCGTTGAGTGAAATTGGCAAATCACTCAAAATTTGGTGCTAACCTTTCTACAAATGTAGTTGTCAACATCTGAAAAGAAGAAGAGCTAAAAAACACAATGCGTTTTATACCTCCTTGTTTGCAATGAGTTCCGCAGAATCCAGGCTTGCAGTCACAGCGATAGGAGTTCGATACATATTCAGGAACGCAAACACTAGCGTTTTTACAAGGTACGCTTTCACAAGGAGACTGAAAAGAGATCAAGAACGATCCACAAATAGTGATTTTTTATATTGATGATAAATACGTTTAAATCACAAATATATAGGGGGAGCTTACCGGAGGACTGAAATGATGGAACGTGGCATTTGCAAAGAACTTTTCTGTAGCTCTGTACTTGTCAGAGGCCAGCAACTCGCACAGATAAAGACCATTGGGATCAAGATTAGCAGCCATGTTAAACGAATAACACTTTGGCTCACCAACACAAAGAAAAGTGCAGGACAGCTTATCTTCCACCTTGAAAGATGATAGTTTTTCCCATAAGTAATGAAAGAGATCGCACTTGAATTTACCAAACGCGTACGAAGCACGCCCTGTTGAATATCGATAGAGAGCGTTGTTTTGCATGGAAAATATCAACTTCAGCAACAAAGGAAAAAACAACAAGAGTGGCAGAAGCAGCATTACAGTGGCTAGTGGACTGTCAACATCTGAGTTACTTTTGGATACAGAAAATTTAAACCTCAAATATGAAATGTGAAAAATATGATATCTGTCTGTTTATATAAATTTACTAAGGGAGCCGGTATAACTCGGGAGTTGACATATGTCATGTTTCCAGAATTAAAAAAAAAAACATCATCTTTGCTTGGAAATCAAGAAAAAGCAATTTTTTACTTAATAGTATCCTAAGCCGCTTGGTGCGAAACAAAGTAAACCTATTCAATGTGATACGCTGTTATTCAGTTCTAATTTCCACGTTTTTTTTGATTAACTAATGGATAACAACTTAACATTCCCCTTTTTAAAACTACAGCAGGTCAGAGGACCTTTTATTACAGAAGTGTAACCATCTGGAATAAACTTGACTCAAGATTGAAACTATGTAAAAAACCAGCTTCTTTTACGAGAGCTTTGAAAAGGTATCTGCTGAATGACTTAAATAATCATTCTACTTTTAATGTTATAAGTATTTTTTCTTGTATTTAACGTGTTATTAGTTAGTTTTGTATGTAAAGTATTGAGTATGTAAATTATGTAATTGTTCACTGAAAAGCCCCTGACGGGGATGTGTTCAATAAAATGTTGTATGTATGTATAGATAGTTTACTGTGTAATGCCACGTCCCCTAATTTGTGTGCTCACCCGTTTATTGATAATTAATTATGGCAGTGATCCTGATTTCAAAAGCCTTTTACTGTGTGAATTGTTGGCCACAGACAAGTGCAAAGAAACTAAAATCACTGATTTTTGTTTTTTTCCTTTTTTCAGTGTCCTTAGCGAATGAAACCTTTCATATACAGGAGGATTTTATTCTCAATTAGATCTAGGAGAGAAGGATTTGATAGGACATGTTTACTCTCTTTCCAGTGTCTATGTGGAAGCGCTCCTTGTGTGAACGGTGGTACCTGTGTACCTGCGTATGAACTGAACTCTTTTCACTGTGACTGTGAGCTTGATTCTTTGGAACTCTTTGCGAATGAAGAGGTGTGAAAATCTTTCTCAACCCCTGGCGTAGAAGTCATACTATCGTTTTTATTCATGTTATCATTCAAACTTCCAAACATTAGCTTTTGTTTTATTCATTGTTTTTAAATAGAGGTGATAATCTTTGATTATCACTGGTTAAAATCAAAGTTTTCCTGTTGCTGCCCTCCAATATTTTTGCTAAAATAAAAAAACAGAGTAAGGTTGGCGTTGTTGGGCTGTTTTCTTTTTTATTTCGAAGGAGTTAAATCATTCAGTGAGATCAGTCTATGTAATCCGCCACATAGCTCTTGCACCAAAGCTTCTGTTGACTTGATCGAATTTATGGTGACTGGGCTAGGAGGCTGAAATGTGTTTTTTCACCCGTAGAATATTGCGATTTTTAATCTCTGTGTGATTTTTTAGGAAGCAAAACCTATAAAGACATCAAAGACTACGATCCCAAAGTCAAAAATGGTTCATACGTCATTGATCACGATGGGGAGGGTGGAGTGCAGCCTTTCACAGTTTAGTGACATGACTGACAAGGACGATGTCGGAGTGACAGTTATCAGTCACGACAGTGAAAGCAGAACACTAGTGTATGATATTTATATATTGAGAATTAACAATAAAGGGAAGAAAAAAGGATTGTATTAAAAAAAAAATCTGATGGCAATGAATTAACCCAGATCAGAACAAATTAACTCCTAATAATATAACTCTCTGCATGGGCAGGTTAATATTAGTTTCCCAGATCTATCTTGTAATTCTTCTGTCAGCTGCTACACACTTACGTCTCGTAAGATAGGAAATCTTAGACTTTGTAATGTGATAATACTCCTGAAACGAACACATTTATCTTACTCTTACATCTGCTTACTTCTTGGATAAACAATGGTTTATTCACAGTATTTTAATCAAATTAAAACGGCCTTTTTTTTCATCCACGCGTGATTGGTCAAACGCATTATGTGGTCGAATATAACTTTTCTCAAACTGGAAATATCCGAAGACATAGCCCAAGTTGATTTTCCAATTTTTGAACCTTACATTACGTCAACTTCGATGATTAAAACTGAGATTTTCGGTTAAAATTGAAAGAACGATTAAAAAATGTTTATGAACAACGAACTGTTTTCTATTTGGGATGTTTACTTTTCAATGTTATCTGGGACGATTTCATGAAAACACAAACATTTCCCTTCTTCTGCAACAGTGGCTAAACGTTCTTTCGTTTTGAATTTAATTTTAAGCGAATTCCTTTATCAAAGTTGATCTCAAGATGGTTGTGAGGGCTCACCAGCCGTCTAGCTTGAAGAAGGCTTTCGACTTGTTTGTTAACGCAATTCACTTGCTTTACCTACTTAAAAAAAGGATGTCTATGGATGGCTCGCAGGAACCTTTTAAGTTAGTGTGTTTCTTTAAAACTACGATTGTCAGAGGGTTGAGAGACTCTCA